TAACATTTTAATAATTCTTTACTCTGTCTACAAAAACTTCTTTTGGTTTTTATGATTCTTGCTTATAAGCTTTTCGAGAGAAAACGTCTCTTCGAGACACAAATAAAATTAAAATCAGTTTATAAAACAAAACTTCTGAATTTTTGGCTTCGATTAAATAGTCATCTACCAAATTACGCAGCTTCTTTAGCTCATTCTTTTCAATTGCTATCATTGCTGCACCTAAGCGATTCTGTAAATATAAAAAATTACCGTATATTCTCAAATTATTGTAAAGTGGTCACTTATTATAAGATTCACTATGAAAAAAGAGAATCAGTAATACTACCAACACTTTTACGATTAATTATATGAAAAGTGTAATATTTTAGATTTTATTCTCTTATTTAAATACTTTAATTCACGTGTAATGCTTCTGGCAAAAAAGTAATAATTATTGAATCATTTGATATAAATATGAAAAAACGAAAATTTGAACAAACTTGTTGTTGACGGAATCGTTTTATATATTGAATAAAGCGTTCATTATGCAAATTTTTAGCAATAATAATTCGTAATTCTTTCATTCTACCACTGCATTGTATACTTTCCATTTCAGGAAATTTTCTCGCATCAAAATCCAAATTCATCATTAGATATTCCAAATTATCCTCCCTCATTTTCATTTCATCTTAATACTTTTTGTGATAAAAGTTTTGATTACTTTTTGTTCGTACCAAAAAATTTCAAATTTAAAAACAGAACATAAATAAGTACTTTAAACTTAATTAATTTCTAATCCCTCAAATTTTTTTGCTAAAATTTTAATGAATTTCATATGCAATAAAGTTAAATTCATATTTAGAAATTAAATTCCATGCTTATTTCTAATATAAATTTACAAGAATAGAAATCATTTGGCAAAAAATGTTAATTATTTCTTACTTTGCTAAAAAATTTATAAAAAAAAAATCATAAAAAGTAAATATTAGCAAGCATTTATAAATTTCAAGCCGAAATATCTTATGAAATGAATCGTTAAAACTGTTTGATATTTTATGATTTTTTCAAAATTTAGTAAATTTTGAAATTCATACAATTTTAATAAGCTTCTAATTTCATGAGAGCTGAAAAATCTCACAAAATATTTCAGAATCTAATATTTTTTGAATCAAAGCATCATAATCTATTTTTTGAATCAAATTTCCATAGCATCATAAATCTTAGAAATTAAGAAAGTTTAAAAATGAACAAATCGCGAACTTTCCGAAGTTTGTGATAAGCAGGAGGATAAGCGAGCAGAGTTGCTGATATTATGCCCTGGCAAATTTTCGATCTGAAAAAGAAACTTTTTATGAAAGTAATTTGAAAATGAAACAACTGATGGATCAAGAAGTACTTCTATTAATTACTTTCTGAAGTATCGTTCAGTTTCAAAGTGTTACCAATAAGTTGTGTAAATATAAACATGTAATTATGATCTGTAATGAGATGAAATAAAAAAGTTTGAATTTGTTCTGCTGAAACTTAAAGCTTATAGTTTTTACAGAGTTGTACTTGAAAATCTTACAAATTTTACAGGTAAGAATTTATTAGACTATAAATAAATATTCAAAATTGGAGGAAATAGTGATTGAAGTAAATTTTTAAAAATTGAAGTTATGCAAAGAGATATATGCAAAATGTATGGGAACCAAATTTGTACTTCGCGAGCTAACTTTGCTAGAATTAATAAAGTAAATATTTGTATAAAATGTTACATTTATTTTAGTGTAAAACGTTAGGCATCTTAACTGTACGGTGCAAATTTAATTTCAGAAACCAAAATTTACGATATAATACCATGGTTATGTTGAAAGGTATAATTTATTTTATTTGAGAATTATTAATTCTTTAGAGATTTTGAAGAGAAAGAACTATCACTCAAAAGTTGCGATCAGTTTCTGATGGCAATATTGACTTGCTTGATTATAATAATGCATTTTCACTAAGCATTGAATTCAAGAAATCAAGGGTCTTTATTACAAATTATAAAATCTGTCACTTTTAACATGGAATACAGAAGTAAAGTATGCCAGAAAGCATCTATCTGATCAGCTGATTTGATAGAATTCTTTGATTTACTACTCGTATTAGTAATTAGCACAGAAGTTTACTATTTTGTTCACTTAAAGCACAAGTGTGAGTAATTATTTTTGCTTTCATAAGTAATACCAAAAGTAATATTATTGACCAAATATGAAAAAATGCTGAAAACGAATTCGAAAAAGCTTCAATAAAGTCAAAAAAAACAAAATTTTCAATTTTATTTGTGCTTTTTTTTGTTAAACACTCGTTTATTTTTATCAGTATTTTTCTGAAACTTATTAATTTTGTATTTTTAAATAAAGTATTCATTTCACATGACTTTCTCTGAAGTACAATCCTCTACAGTACAATTCATAATAAATCTGAAACTTGTACTGAATAATGTAAAATGGTCGAAATTAATTTGTGCGCGAAATTATGCAAATTATTTAGAATAATTTTTGATGAAAAGATGCGGAATATTTTCAAATTTACAAAAAAGATTAAACGTTTTTGAAGAAAATTTGAGCAAAAAATGAATAAACTGGATTGAAAAAGTTGAAAAATGAGCAAATTGAATGGTAGAAAAGGAATTTCAAACCATATCAGTGATATCTTCATTCGCTCCAGCACTAATTAGCATCGTTGTGAATTTTACACGTTCGTAAGTGTTCTTAAGCTGATGAGCATAGTGTAGAGGTGTTTGTCCTTGCTAGAAATTACTCTTTAAAAAAGCAAAAATTTTACTTACGACTGTAACTTTTACTTTGGCATTGATGTTAGAATATAACTGCTATATTAATCTTTTAATATATCACTTCAAATACAATACAGCAAATTTTGTGCTTAATATTAAAGCTTAGATTAAAGCTCAAAGAATTGAATAAAATGACACACCAAAATTGAAATTAGTAATTATTTGAAAGTGATAACAAACCTTGTCAGTGCTATTAACGCAATGAGGAAAGATTAATAATAAGTATTCGCAAATGAGTGTGCGACTCATTGCGACGGCATTATGTAAAGGAGTTCTTCCGAAGTGATCTCTCGAGAATGCAAATTTTTCCTTGTCAACCAGTTGCTTCACTAAGGTCAAGTTATCATCTACTACTGCTTGTTGAATGGCCAAACATTTTGTCTATTAGAAATACTTTGTAATTTGAGTAATTAGCATAATTTGCTCGTTTTATTTTTGATAGTTTTCAATTTTGTTATTTAATCAAAATTTTTTTCGTCTG